ATCACCAAGCTCAAAGAAGTGACAAAATGTGATTGTTTTCTTTATGTTATCTGACCTATGGTGACAAATGTTTTTGTTTTTTGTCATCATAACACAATGTCATTTTCTGTTCTGAAGGCTGCATGATGCTCTGTGTTTGGTTATGAGTAGACTTATGACTAAATCAGAAAAGGTGAAATGCTCCTTTAAATTCACTGCTGGTGGTTATCAATATTGCACCTGTTCATTGGGTAAAATTATTAATATTAGTTTTAAACATGCAGTTGAGGGTCATCATTATTTGGCACAATGATGTGTTAAAATTAAAAATAAATCAAAACAATATAAAAGTAAAAAGCACCTCTAAAGTAATTGGATGTGATAAATTGTGACATATTAATTAGCCTTATCTCGGCCAAAGCAGTGAGTTTAAAAACAGGATGATGGAACTAGTTTAATGAAGAATCTGTCTCTGAAATTATTATTAAATCAAGTGTTTATTTATAGGTAAAAGTATGTTAAACAACCTGGTAAAATTCACCAGAATGCAGGAAATGGAGTCTTTTTCATTCAAAGTTTTCTGGAGGAGGACCCCCAGACCCCCCAACAGTGTGTCCCCCACTTTTAAAATGGTTCTGACACCATGTTTAAGGCAGTCACTGCCTGTATGAGGACATAAACAAAACACAAAGATCTGCAGAAACTTTCAAGTAAAAAATTATTTTAATTTTCCTGGCCACCCCTGTGTGTGTAGTGGTCCCAGTCTGGCCACCCCTGTGTGAGTAGTGGTCCCAGTCTGGCCACCCCTGTGTGTGTAGTGGTCCCAGTCTGGCCACCCCTGTGTGTGTAGTGGTCCCAGTCTGGCCACCCCTGTGTGAGTAGTGGTCCCAGTCTGGTCACCCTTCTGTGAGTAGTGGTCCCAGTCTGGCCACCCCTGAGAAAAATGTCTGGCTCCGCCACTGATCAAAAACTAAACAATGTTCTGCAGATAAACGGAGCCAGAAAGTGTTTTATTTTTATTTATTTATTTATTTATCTCTGTCTAAAAAGGACCATCTGAAAACGACATGTCGGTTCTCCTGACCTGGTCAAAGTAGATGATCCTGGTTTTGTTGCTCATCTCGGACGGCTCGTGGTTGTTGCTCCGGACTGCAGAGAAAGCCACCTTGGAGTTGGCCGCGCGCACCGAGATGCCGAGCGGAGAGGAGGAGGACCTCCAGTCCGTGGCCGGGTTCGAGTCGCACACCACCAGACATTTACCCTCCAGGACGATCGGCTCCGTGTCGTTCTGAGCTCCCACGAGCTCGGACACGAGAGTCCAGCCGAGCAGCAGCAGGAGACGGCTGAGCACCATGACGCGTCTCTGATTCTGCTGCTCCGATTCAGAGAGAAGTTTCCCACCGATCCACCGTCTGAGGAAGTCTCACAGAGCAGCCATGTCTCCAAAAACAGTCCTTATAAAATCCTGTCAAGTCTCATTTCCAGGATTCAGGACCGGCTGAGACCASAGTGGACCCGGGAAGCTGTTCTGCCGGGGACAAACCGTCCATGTCCCTCTCTCCCGCTCCGAATCACGCGTCTGATCGCAGCTGCTCCCGCAGCGAGCTGCAGCCTGTGCGCGCGCTCCGTCCTCCACTTTACGCACGMACGTGTGGCGCGAGAATAACCGTTTCAGAGAAAACTCAAGCCCACACACGACTCTAATTATCTCCAACTAAAAGTTTCATTAGACTGGACACAAACTGTGGTTTTTAAGGAATAAGAATTAGAGATTGCTCCAGTTTCAGGGGCTAAAACAGGTCCGCTCCTCTAAGCTCCCCCCACCAGTCCCACCAGTCCCACCAGTCCCACCAGTCCAGGGGACTCTGAGTTTGTGTGTGATGAGGTGACTCATCTTAATCCCACCCGAGGTGGGCTGAACGCCTCCCAGTCCGACCCCTGGTCCTGTGATGTTTCCCACTGACAGGACCTTTACAAYCACTGCCTTGCTGACGTCATATAATCCAGTTTCACATTACGTCAGAGCACAACTTCCTGCAGACTGAAGATGCTCATTTTTGGCTCTAAAGGGAGGTTCTGGCCATTTTGCAGAGAGGTTCTGTGGAAAAGTTATGAAAAGTTAAATATTTACAAGACAGAAGTTGGTTTTATTTTAACAGATTTTAATTTATGTAAACAGTGTTTTTAAAATTGTTACTATCAAGGTTAAATACCCTGAATGGTCAAACTGGTAAGTAATTTTATTTACAGTGAATGTTGG